TGACTAGCTTTATTAGCGTCATTATTATCTGTACGTGGAGCACCGAATAAATAGCCATCAATAAGAAAAGGCGTCCTACTTCAATCCACAAACATGACAGCAATTCAAAAGAGAACGCAGAAAACTTTTATAATCATGGAATTAAGAAGCAAACAAAAATTTGGTGCTTAGCTCGGTTGAGGAGCTTACTTAATGAGAGCTGCTTGCTCGGGCCGACGTGAATAAGAATTGATAGGAGAGCCGTGCTGGTGTATAGTGAGACAGATCCCATGTAATTTCTTAGTATAAATAGCTATTAACCGATATCTGCTTGACTCGGGTTTATCGATGAGAGAACTGATATTACTGCGATCGTTTAGGCTCATCCGGGGAGTGATGGTTTGATGGGTGCCGTATGCTTCTTTTTAGACACTGGCAAAGTGATTGCGAACCATTTCTAAAGTGAAATCTACTGGCCAAAGTCTAACATTTCTCTATGAACTATAACATCACAGGACCTACTGACGCTTCTCGTTCTTTTTGTTGCCTCTGCCGTGCCTGCTGCCACGGCAGTTGTTGCTGCTGACACTTCCAGCGCGGCTGTTACTATTGCAGCCTCTGCTTTCTCCGCACCCCGATTTCTTCAGACCCTCGTCGTTCAGGCCTGGGCTCTTGCAGGACTCGTGGTCAGTGGCGACCCTGGAAGAGAAAGGTGTCGAGTCTGGGATGTTGGGCCCCAGAGAAGCAGGGCGCGGTGCAGCCCAGCACCCGTCGTCCAGGTCTGGGCTGTTGGGCCCCAGAGAAGCAGGGGGCGGTGAGGCCCAGCACCTCCGCTGAATTGGAATTTCTGAGCATAATTGATCAAATCATTTCTCAAGCTTTGGCATTCATTAAGTAAAGTTTCTTTTTCTAATTTCAGTTTCCTCAACTGCATCCACTGCAGTTCCGGTTTTCTACTTCTCTGGATCCGAAGCTTATCCTTTGGAGTCTCAATAAAATTGTTAGCAGTTATGTTTGTATAAATTCCTTACAAGAGAATCAAAGGTAGTAAATGTATAATTTCTCAACTTGCTATTAGCTACAAAGATAGAAAAAATGTTGAACTTTACGGTTTATGCCACTCACTCTACAGTCTTCACTGTTTTTGTTTTGCAATATTTCAATAGGTATAGCTGCTACAACATTCCAGCAAAATGGCGGAGGACTGTCTTTTGTTACCCCGCGCCCGCCCGTCCCTTATTATCCCGTTTGATGGTATAACATAAGTATAACAGCACTCGCCTCAGGTCTCAGGGCACTGATGGCAGACTGGCAGCAAGTCAGTACTGTTCGTATCTATGTGTACAGTGCCTTTAGGCGCGCAGCAAAGCACCAGATCTTCCTTCCTTGGACCTTCCTGCATTTATTTTTGGAACTTTTTAATCAGAAATATGGGCATGAATAAGCTTATGCCTTGTGGCCATTGAGGGTGATCAAAAACTTGCCCAGTTAATTATTGTGAAAAAAAAACAAATTAGCTTCAAATAATTTGGAAAATTTGTAAATTAAAGTCATTAGAGAAATTTCATTGGAAGAATAGTAAAAACATTTTGCACGGCCACACTTGACACTTGTTGCTGTAAACATTAGAAACCTGCTAGTGCGTCTAAGTGAACAGCTCCTTTAACATCAGGCAACGGGGAGCGCAGCCGTGGGTAACAAAATTGACTCGTAAACAGGCCCTGGGCCCAACGCCAACCAGCAGCATGCAATATTTACACATAGCCTCAGCTCAATGAGCTGTGGAAAACTCCGGCTAACAGTAAATGCGCTTTGCACAACACAGCCACTGCTTCACAGCACCGGAGCCCAACTGGCCGGAGCGCAACAGGTCCTACCGCAACAGGCGCAGGTTAGGTTAGGTTAGGAGCAGCGTTATGTTAGGCCGGGGTAAGGCGTTGTAGGTAGGGCCTGCTGCGCTCCGGCCAGTTGTGCTCCGGCCTGTATGCGCTCCGGCCTGTGACTGAACGGCGCTGTTGTGGTGGACGCTTTGTGTCAAAAACCGTGAAGATGCCCGGCTGCGTTACGCTCGGGAAGGTATATGAATCGCACTGTGGACTTGGGCTATGCTGACCTCTAGCTATCCACCCCAGGCAACGCAGCACCTGTAGATTCAGTCCGACTTTCCTAAATTGCCAAAATCTGTAAGTCAAGATTAAGTATTTGGTTGCAGCTGACCAATTTTAGTCATTTATTGCTTCCAATTCACCTGTTTCGTGAAGGCATTTGCTCTACACAGCATTTTAGGCACGCTGTTTCTTCACGCAATTAATTTAACTTAAATGGTGTCTATTCAAAATCTCAAACGTACAACGAAAGTTTTGTGCTCATAACAAAGTGATCTCGGCGCTGAAGTGTAGGCCTGATGTGGCCTGTCGCCGATTCTTTTACTCTTCGTGCCTTGTTCACAGAAGATCTAAAATCGTGTCATTTGACCGGATCTTTTCACGACTGACGATAGTTTGAAGTAGCTACTAGACTTCCATCGGGTTCGATATGGTGCTAGGCATTTCAAATCTGAACATATATTTTTCCATAGCTTTATCTACCACCCGAGTTTGTGCCTTGTTTTGGTCTGAACTCACCCGTGTTTGTGCCTTGTTTTGGTCTTTACTGGTACCTAGTCTGTTCGTGTAAATGCAATTTTAGTTCGATACGTATTTGCTTATCGAACTCTGAAAACTATATAAATCAACTGGTTTTATCAACAAGTGAGCAAATAACTAGCAAATATAATGTTATTACACCTGACGATTATCGCACCTTCTCCCCAAAGTATTTTAAACAAGTCTACGTAAACACAAACGTAGCATTTAATTTGCAGCCCAAGACGCTCTACATTGACTCAACGTCAATTTCATGACATTAAATTCATTACTAATCTTGGAATAAGTTTATGGGAATCTCACCTACCGATGAGGTTTCACTTCCGCACGTCAAAAAATTGAAGGTAAAATTCGAATCGTACGCAAATTATCACGTGCAAGACCATTATCTTGGTATCAAGTCGAATATCTTGAACATTCGACAATCATTTACTTATTCAGTACCAGTCCATTAGCACGATCCCTGCAGGATTGTAGCTAGAAGATTTGAAGTGATTGTCGTTTCGTCAAAACTATTTATATTAAAACTCCACCATAATTAGGATGATGAGAGGACATTACTTGCATCTGATGAATACCGTACCGGATCAAAACAGGATTGCATCAAGTGATATAATTGAACAAAAACTACTCCGTTGTCTTTGCGTTTCAAACCCAATGCACATGCACGCACCTAAACTACCGTATTTTACGTATATTTCCCACGTATATTTCCACATATTGTGTCAAAGTCATTGAAAAAGTAGATGAAATACAATATATTTAGCTCTAAGCAGCCTAGAATAAAACTGAACCTTCTGTTTAGACGTATTTTTTCTCAAAAGACAGGTTGGTATTCTATTAGCAGTTCTACAGGTGCAACTGCAACAGAGAATCTTTAGACTACGCAACTGCATGGGGAAATATCACTAATGTTCGTTAATAAATGTATAAGAATAAATTCAATCTGCAGTAGAAACGAGATCGAGTACAACAGCTTAATACTCTACTTAAATGTATAAATTGCACACCGGCTCAACTCTTCACAAAAAAAACCGTCATTCAACATGGGTAGTATTAGATAAATGAAATTGTTTTCAACCCAACTAGATGATGCAAAACAACTTAAAAGAATACCAATACATTTGAAAAGTAAAAATATTGCGAACAATTGTAACAGAATCGAAGAGTTCGATCATAGAGAAGATTAACATAGAACCTCTTGAAACGAATCAGAACACGCATCTTAATGTACGATGAAAGTCTCATCTGATGAGTGTTAATTAGTCAAAAAAGGTTGATTGTATTGAAATTGACCTGAATGAAGATACCTTAAGATGACTCATGTTAGCTGTGGAACGTCATACACTTGTGAAAGCACACACAGAGTTAATTCATGTCCCTCAGAAGCAAGGCTATTACAAATTCATCGAAGGGAAGTACGAATGAGTATGATGAAAATTAAATACCTACTCGTCTTATTTCATTGCGACGAATGTTTTTATCCACAAGATACTTTATAGGAAAGGGAAGAAGTATACAATTGTAAAGTTAACGACTACAGCGACCAACAAATGTGAAGAACTAATAATTTACGACAATGTGAATTTGGAAGAATTCCTAAAGAAAAAAAATATTTAGGGTTGTGTCAATTTTTAAATCCATCAGCGCATGATTTATCATAAATAGTTAATTAACAAGACTTAAAAGCCGAATTATGGCTAAAGAGAGTAGTAATAACTTGCAACAAGGTAAATTCTAGGAGAAAAGTCGAAGCAATTACTGTAAAAACCCAAAACGATAGTGACAAATTACAAGCACGTAACTCGTTAACCATCGGGGCTGACAGTGCTTGGTTTCATTCTTATCATTCACTCTATCTATTACTGGTAGTGTGAAGAGTAGCGGTAGTAAATTACACAATAGCTAACTAACCATGAAATTACACATTAAATAAGAAGCTTTCTTGTACCGAGAGAGGCAGTAAATTGACCCACATTGTGGAAAAACGTCCATTTTTAGCAATTTTTTGCATCAAAGTACATTAAACACCCGCACAAAAGGCAGGCTCAATTCACAATCGTGCTGAAACTTGTGATGAAAATGTAGCGTCAGAATCTGAGAAAATAATAAATAAACTGAGACAAATACACCGAGTGAGACAAAGAAGGGCAGTAGAGTACGTCGTACTTACTCAGTCCATTAAAATCCTAAACTACACAACAATTTAACATCCATTAAAATGCCCCTAAAGCGTCTTCAGTGAGGATGAAAAATTATACTTCAATTATATTATTGCAATACCAAATGTATCATTGAAATTTAATTCACAGGAATTAATTTATGAAACAAAAAAAATTTCGAAAAATAAAAAATTTGGTTATGGCTAAAATTGCGGGAAAATGCATTTTTTGGTGGCAGGTGCACTATGCAAATTATTCATATAAGTAGCATAAATCTCATGTTCAACACGCACATCCTACCAAATTAAATGCAGAACAGATATTTACACAAATTAATATCTAACTCAAATAAGAAATAACTTATAAAAAGATGACTCAAAGCAAACATCTCACTGTACAGTACATAGTAGAATTTATGGCTTTCGGTTTGAACAAAGAGAACATCCTACTCTGCAACCTGCTTTAACCAAGCTTTAGTCTAGCTGTCATCCCACTCAAACATAAACGTGTTATCCGTCCCCTACTCTGCAACCTGCTTTAACCAAGCTTCAGTCTAGCTGTCATCCCACTCAAACATAAACGTGTTATCCGTCCTTCCTGAGAGGAGTTCAGGCCCCCTTCGTCCAGTGCTCGGCGCCTTGGCGATCACCGTTACTTTATCAAAGACCAAATTTTTCAACTTGGCCCGGATGATCTGCGGGTCCTTTGAGCGGTCGAAGTCCACACTTCGAAACGTGATGCGGTCAAAGCGGCCCAAACTCCTGTGAAATTCGGAGCATTAGAACATTACAATCCTAAACTGAGAAGAACTCTAAAGAAGATATGATTTGTGCCGCAATATACAAAAATAAAAATTTGGCGACCAGCAATATGAAATTTGCTTCAAGAAAAACCTTTCTAAGCAAATCTTACAGACAAAATGGCATGAAATTTTTTTGCGGAGTAAAGGTGCTGATTGGAGAATTTATCAAACAAAATATTTGGAGTTAAATCAGATTGTTCACAATGGCATCAGCACTTACTCAGTCCATAAATGTTCAATGATGTTGAGAGCCCAAGGCAAGGATGCACGCTTGATGCGGTAAAAACGCAAATGAACTTCCGTGTGTGTGGATGCATGCCGTCTATTTTTCCCCTTGGAAGGTGAGGTATTTCTCTCAAACTTTTCCAGATCCGACGGCTCTGTGGAAGTAGGAAAAGCAAGCACCAGCTGAAGTTGCTTCAGATGTTGTGCCGGCATATAACAGTGCTTGATGAATTCATTGAAGTCTTTACTCGTTGATATTCTAAGATTCAAAAACTTCAAATTCTTGAAATTAGATAGATGCTTCACACCTTCGCTGTTAATGGCTCCAGTAAACTTAACGAGGTTCGCCCATCCATCAAGAGCGGCCAAGTATTTCTCAGATTTACCTCCATCATTTTCGTAGTGATTCTGGAGATGAAAACACATACTTATTTTGTTCCTCTTGCGTTGTCTTAGTGCCAACCCCACTTGTGACAGGCTGGTTTGTAAGGAGCTTAGGTGGTCGTTGGCATTGTCGGGGTTAACGTCCATTTGTAAATCAATGGTCAAGTCCTGTAGACTTACATTGAAGCAGTGCTTCAGAAGTCGCAAACCAGCCAGCACAGTATCGGCACTCAAATGCCATTCTGTCTGAGGCATTAGGTTGGCAACTTGAGTACAGAAAAGCCTCTCACAATTATCAACAAAATTGTTTTTTTCACTGCCTTTGCGTGTGTGGCTTTCAATGACCAGCTTTGAATATAAGTTGAAGTCATTACTTGAAAAGTTCATTATTCTCACAATATCAGCAATACCAGAAGAATGTTTATCCAGTTTCCTTTCAACAGCCAAGCAGCCAACCAGAAACGGTAGAACACCCGAGTATGGAAGTTTATGGTCCGTTTTACGAACTTCGTCAACCAATTCTTCCACTGTTAACGGTTTTCCAGGAGCTTGACAAGATAATGGCTCCGACGCTAATTCGCTTGCCAAGAATTTCCCAGCTAAAAATTCCATTTCAGTGCGATGGAAGAAAGAGAAGGTCTCAACCTTCGTGGCCGGAGGGCGGCGACGGTGATCATCTTTGCTTGTCTCAGGACTGTAGTATAGCAAGAAAGCTGAGAAAAACTCAACCGGAACTATTTGTCTTTTTTCACATGCCCGGCTGAGATCTCCACTCTCTGCGTTATTAATTTCAATCCTGAAAGACGAAGAGAAAAGAGAGTTCTTGGCAATATGAGCAAGTTCATCGAGAACAACAGCAACGTCACGTTCTCTGATCTGAGCATTGTGAGTAGCTGAATGTTTTCGAGCTTTCACCAGCTTACTAGTCAACATATTGAAGAGCTCCAAGTAGAGCTTAGTACCTGAGCAGATTGCATTCAATATGGACGCGTCACACTTCAGAAACAAGAGAATTAGCAAAGCCACAGTCAAGGGAAAGTTCAAATACTCATTCAAAATTTCTGTTCGTTGATTCATAAATTCACAAAATTCTTTAGCAGTTTTTTTGTGCGAATTAGATTTGTTAACATCCGGGGAAGCAAAAAACTGAGCAGAAAAATCTTCACGACCTTCTTCATCAAATCCAATCATTTGAATTTCAGAAATATTTGCTTCTGAAGTGTGGTCTCGGAAAATTTTTTGGGCATCACACAAAAACTCGGGACGTGTGGTCAATATGACATGGTTTGATCTTGATTTCATAAATGTAGCTATGTCTCGCACAAGCTCCACATTTTCGCTATTTTTTTCATCAAAGCCATCAATGATGTAGAGTGTTTTCAGACTAAGAAGGTATTCTGGCACATTTTTGCAAACTTTTTTGCCAGCGTGAGTAGAATTTACAGAATTAGGCAGGAAAATTTTATCAAGAAACTGCATGAGTGACTTGCATTCCCGATTTGCATCATATCGAGTAGCCCGCATCTCCACCAAGACGACGAGATCAAAGGAATCTAGTCCGTAGTACAGCAATTCTTGAGTAGATTTCCTGCTTTTATTGTGCCACTCCGAGAAAATGTGATAGCTAAGTGTAGTTTTGCCGCAGCCTCCATTGCCGTAGACGAGCATCACTTGGGGGCGGTCAGTGGTCGTAGAATTGATAGGCATGAAGATATCTTTGGGAGATAAATTGGATGACTGAGATAAATTGGATGACTGACGTTTCAGGCATGGAATGGCGTATACATTCATGGAGATGGGCTCTAAAATGCCACCTTTATTATCTTTAGTTACATCATGAATCCAATAGAAGGGAACTGAAAATTTTCTGTTTAAATCATTTCTTTGGCTTAGCTCGTATTGGCTACATCTGAGAAAACTCAAGCATGGATCATCAGCAAGCTGAATCATGATTTTCTTTCGGTGATTCAGCATGTCAGTGCTTTTTCTAATACATTTCATTACTTCTTGAATGTCCTCTATGACAGGTTCAATATCTTTACTTTTGTATCCTAAATCCTTGGAAGCACATTTCAGTAACTTCTTGAATCGTTCGAAAAGTTTATCGACATCATTTTCATTATTGTGCAGAGGTCCATAATGGCACACAGTGTTTCTCAATGAATGAATTTTCTCAAATTCTTCCGTGCATTCAGCACAGTATTTTTCTTTATAGAAGTCTTTATTAATTTTTGTGATGAATTTATGATATGTGACAAAATCGAATTTTCCTTTAGTAGGATCTCCACTAAGGTTCTTTAGTTTCGTTTCGAATTTGCTCCCAAATATTGTCTTTCGTTTATCACGTGAAGTAATATTACAGTTCTTTAGCCACTCTGCAAGAGTAATTGGTTTATCCTCATCAGACAGCGACTTGTTATCTTTGTGAAGATACTGCATCCTAAAAATAGCCTTCAAAACAACCTGACCAATTTCATGAAGAGCAACAACAAACAACGTGCTTCTGTCCAATTGATCAGATGAAAACTCTTTGCTTTCAGCATCAGTGATCACATTGGTACGACATTCGGGAGATGCAGTTTTTTCATAAGAAGACGATATGCTGGTGGTAGGAGTGGATGCCATCTTGGAGTTTGGACCGGGCTCACGATGTCGTGCTGTTAGGGGCACTCCTAACCTTCTCCAAAGGCCCGGTACGACCAATATAGTACGTATTGGCTTTTATCTCATGGAAAACTAGTTGAAAGAACCTAACAGCAAGAAAAATCAAACACGAGACCAGTCAACCAGATGAACTCTAAATTAAGTTGGCACAAATTATTTACAGTTGAATGATATATGTGATGATGAGGGGTTAGTTTCATGGATGACAAATACACAGGCCTGAAAATGGATGAAACACAATAAATAAAGAATTTCAAGAACCCTAAAACCATATAATACATTGATGATCAGTAAAACGTCATAAAGGGAACAGTGAAAATTCTATATAACTGATGGCTCAAAAGCATGTTCATAAATCCCTGAGACCTCCAGGATCCTCGGCCAGTCCTTGAGTAAATGGCTCTTCTCTTCTTGGTACCGTATTCTGTCCGTCCTCACAGCTGCAGCACAGGCAAGGATCTGGGTCCACCAGTTCACAGCTTGTATAACTTGTGATTAACTGACACTGCACCAAGAATTTACACTTGCTTGGACTAAACACTAAGCAAGATAATAATGGCAATCAGTTGCACTTGGCAAAGAGGTGAATTTTCAGCACAATTGAGAACCGTCACAGAGGTTGCTTATGATCCCAACCTCAAATTTCAGATTTCCAATTCTGGGTTATTAGGGAACCACTGAGAAACACTGCACAAGAGATCACTAGTCCTCCAGCATCACACTCAAAGCAGTGTATGCACAAGACATCAATGCAGTCGAAAGAACAATTACATTTGCCAATTACAAATCACTACTCATTTGTGCACTTTAAGGCAACTGAGACCAACCAAACTGGTGATCCATAAAACATGCTGAGATCACATATCCATGCCACAATCTAGAAAACCATCTCTGCACAGGCTGTTCATGGTTATTGATGATCTGGAACGAGAACAACACAAGGGATAGGGAGAAATGCATGAGAGAAGGAATGGCAACACAAAATACACAGAGCAAAAAGCCGTTCCCTCACAGTGCTCAAAGTTCTGAAAAAACATATATAGATTTAGATATTTAATACTATATAAATTAATGTAATATACCGGTAGTCAGATGGGGTAAGACAGGACCAAAATCACTAACAAGCCTGTAGCATCTATAGGTACCATGAATAACTAAGAAACCCTAAACCTATCACAAGGTGTAGTTATGCAATGGGCTTCTAAGCTACAACTCAGACGTTTGGCATCTAACATAGTTTTCTGTACAGATTAAAAAAAGTGAGCCGGTCCCATCTTACCCCATTGGGGTAAGATGGGACCAGGCTGGGGTAAGACAGGACCAACTGGTAATTCTTATGTTAGAAGGTTTTTAATAAAAGTACAAATCTGATATTCAATATTATTTATCTAGAAACACATTATTTGATTAAAAAACCACTTGTTACTGTTTTGTGTTGTGGGAAGTCAACTCTGATATCAGTCACATTGAAGTTTGTAAAATCACTAGGAAACTTTGCTAAGCATAGTAATAATGGGTTGGCTTTGGTTCATTGTAGAGCACTGCTAAATGCTTCATGTATATTCTATTAGCGTCATTGTCTGAAAAATTTATCAAATTGGTAATAAAACCAATGGATAATAACTTAAGTGTCAGACGTCATGTGTTTTCTTGCTAACTGCATTTGTGGTGCACTTCTTCAAACATAGCTCATGCCCTCTCACAGAGTTGTGATCATAATTATTTTTCATGTTTCACACAATGATTTTTCCCCCAGCCAATCTTGTACATAGTTCTGCAGATCACTTATGGGAATAGACATCCCTATTTTCTATATCCCTTTGATGCAATTTAAAATAGTGCACTAAATTTCTCTAATTAAAAAAGCTAACAAGTTATAATGAAGTTTGAGCAAAAGATAAAAATTTTGACCAAAATACTCCATGTACTACACAATAATATATTCATTTAAAAACTATTTTTGATAAACTGTAGGGTAATAGAGGACCATTTGTGGGGTAAGACAGGACCATTTGTGGGGTAAGATAGGACCGCTTGTGGAGTAAAATAGGATCATTTAGTCTTACCCCATCCTGTCCTTTATCCAATCAGGACAGGATCCAATAGGATCCTGTCTTACCCCATGTCTGGTCCTTTTTTACCCCCATTTTAGAATACATGTCAGGCTGTTACCGGGGGTTGTAAATACTATTTTTATAGCACAACCTTCCTGCGCACATGATCTTTATTCTCATTTTTGATAATATATTGAGTGGGCAGGTAGAGCATTAATTTTACTTTGTGTTAGTTAATATTGTTCTTTTTTTTATTTTCTTTACAGTATTACAGAATTACAGTATTACCAGAATTCAACCAGCAAGTGCAATAGTCTGATCAAAGTGCTCATTGAATTTATCTGCACCATAGTATAGGCATCAGCACCTGTCCATTTTCCTCTCTAGTCTCAAACTCTTTACTACTCTATGTTCCTCTTTATTTGCTAATTCTTTACTACTTCTTTTCCCCAAAATTCGCAATTTCTTAACCACTCATTTTGGCACAATACTTGATGTCTCTCATAAGCTGCTGATCCCATGTAATAAACTATGTGACATGTTTTTAACTTTCTTTAATAAAACTTAGAAAACACCAACTTTAATTCCCCATAAACTAAGTACCGTAGCTGCAATAGACAAATACAAGCTGATGACGAGTTCATCACACCCGCATAACAATAGGCAAACTGCTACAAGGCAGTGATGGTAGCAGGTAGGAATGCCTAGTATGTCTAAAAAGTTGCCTATTACTTGAGGTTACCTGCCTACATCCACAAACCTGGCCAAAAAATTTTTTGTCATTAGACAGAGCTTATTTCCCAAACAGGGTTAACCATTTTGTGACCCTTCTTTACATAGGTTTTCTTTAAAAATTAGCCAGAAATTCATTACAGCAATCCCTTGATTAACATGGTTAATAAATCCCCGAGTTTTACCGTGTTAAGCAAAACCGCGCTAATCAAAGTTAAGAATATATGGGAATAATTATAATGAATCCTCATAAAAAAAAGTTACATAATATTTTTTTTTCACTAAAATTCATCATATTTTGCTTAGTTCAATTCATCATTCAAGCTTAGTCTCCAAAGTGATATTTTTACGTTTAAGCATTCCCTTTTTGTCCATAATTATGATGGTAATTTATCAAGGAAAATTATGTAGTTTGATAAAAGTGAGCAGTAGATATGGCAGCGATCTTGACCAGTTGAAGGCTAACGAGTAACTAGAGCACCGGCATGGCGCACTTACCGGGGAACGTTGCCGAACTTGACCATTCGAGTTATGAACGAGACAAGGCGCGGTTAAACCGACTGTAGTCAGCACGAGTGCCTACGGAACGGGACCTTATTTAAAGAATTATTGGCTGAAATTCATAAAGTAACAACATTTGGCAAATTTTTCCAAAAGTCGTAACAAAAGTAATAACATAAGATCTAATAACAAAAAGTAACACTTTTGTTACGAACGTAACACCTCTGGCTAGAGGCGGGAAAATGATGCGTTGTGAAAAAAAAGTCGCGCTAATCAAAACTGGCACCGCGTAGATTAAGGGTAGGTCGCAAATTTTTTTTCCGCGTTAATCAAAACCACGGTATTCAAAACCGTGCTAATCAAGGGATTGCTGTATTTGCAGAAGAGGGTTGCCACAACACTGAAATGACAGGCAATGATTATTCTAACATATTCTTTTGTCAAATTGAATTCAGTGCAATTATAATGCACGCCATGGGCTGGTCCTTTCTTACCCATGAAGGCTGCGATCCTGTCTTACCCCATTTGACTATACTTGGTAAGAAACTGAAAAGTGGTCACAGACAAAGCCACCTATCATTCAGGTTTGTCAAGAAGAGAAAAGCATTTCTTACAATTTGTTTCATGAGGTCTTCAAATAGTTTATACACTTGTGATATGTTCCAATAGCTAAAGTGGCCCTTCATGTCAATGGCTAGCCACAAAGCAGCTAGTCTGAAAAGCATGGCTGCACAGTGGCATTTACTTGCCATAGTTAGATACCGGTAATGAGCGCTAACTTTCAAAGATCTGGCAATTTGATTTACAGCTTGAAGGAGAATGGATTGGCTTTGTCACATGTTTATTAAATTACAATTAAATTAACATGAAATTAACACATTTCTTTTACTTACACAAATACTACAACAGTTCAGCCACCACTGCTAAGTTACACTAAGTGGATTACACTCTAATCTCCTAACATTTAAAATGAGCATATCATTCATTTTTTTCACATTTGATCACCCTCTCTATGACTTATACCATACAATTTTTTTCAACACACAGACATCAGGGTAACTTGTAACTAAGTCAGCTAAGTTAATGAACATGGCCAATCTTGCTTTAATTATATTTTTTCATACCAGTTGATGTGCATGAAACTCAAATGTACAAGTGAACAGCATGATGCTCCTGAGACAACAAGCTTATGAACATAAAAAGGAGACTAACAGCTTAATTTTCTGCTTTTTGATGAAATTAAATGTTCATTACAAAGTACACAGTAAGATTATTGGAAATCACAGTGTTCCCGTGTATGCCGCGGGGGGATTAACTCGTAACCCACTTAAGTGAAACTGAATTGGTCTAATATGGTGTAAGTAAATAGTTGCCAGAAGAGTTCTGTTTTATTATGGGATTTTAAAATACAACTGACATGCCAATGAATGTACAAAGACAGTATTGCGTATAGTGCTTTAGGTCTATGGGACTTGGTGCTTGGTAACTAGCGATATGGAATAGGGAGCACAGGACGGGCAATGGCGCATAAGGTCCTCAGACAGCTGAAAGATATAAAAATTACAAATGAAAGATACTGTGCATAAAGTGACTATATGATGCTAAGCAGGCTATAATCTATCATGCCTCAATTTAGATATTAATTTGAAGTAACCATGCTATAACTGAATAATGAACAACATTTAGTAAATTAAGGATTGATAATTTAATTTAGTAACTTAGATTGCAAGAGTTATTGGTGCAAAAATCATAATTAATAAACACAAAGCAAACAACATTGGAAGTAGATTTGACACAATAATGCAAGTGAAGTTATATAGGTAAAACAAGGACCGCATCACCATTATGTCTATGAACACTTGCAACAAGGTTAACTAGATTATGGTAGGGTTGTGCTCAATTAATGCAGATAAATAATGCAACGGTTAAAAAGATGTGGAAAATGCAGTATTACGGAAGACGTACATGTATATACATTATCAGGAAGAGCTTCACTCACCCAACAGTATTGCAGAATTAACTTGATGCATTCAACTGTCTTGGCAGCATTTTAGTTACTGAATTAAACTTGGCTTGAATTGAATTTAATTATTACCTCTGTTCTGAAACGATATGAAACAAAAGGATGCATTGAGTATGAAAATTGGTTAATGACACAGATGGGTTGAGTGGAGAAAAAGCAATAATGCCTTCCGGCAACAACAGTAAAGATAATTGAAGTTACTTTGGATTAAAATATTGCAGTTACATAATCATGTATTTAGAGTGAATTTGAAATATCACAGCTCCAATGTAATGTATATATATATATATATATATATATTGGTTTGATCACAAATCTTACAACAAGCAGAAATATAGGTACATTCCACTAATATTTTGAATTGCCTGGTTCAGAACCCTGCTTCCAGAGGTGAGTAATTTTTATTTACAGCTTTTGCAGTCATGATCAAAATTTTAAAATTCATACTTCACAGCTGCAAAGTCACATGTTCAATAATTTTAGCATCAATCAACTCCATTGTAAACTTTAGGTGACAATTAGATTGCAGCTTCAAAAATGTCAGGAAAGCTTTATTCACCTCTCAAGAAGTATAATTATACCTATTCCATGCCTCCATATTTGTCACAAGCAGTGAAAACTATCTTATTTTACTTCCCAACTCTATAATGAATAGAGCTTTTCCACCATTTTGTTAGACAGGAGATTTTTACCATATGAATTATTGCCTGTTTTATTGT